GTTTCAGTTTATCATTTATTTTACTGTTCTACTTCTAATAGCACAGATTGAAACAAATGAAAGTTGTTTTTACATGTCTGACCAAACTTGTGAAGCTTATTAATGTATCCAAGTGTGCTGCACTCCTGCATAGTTAACAAAACCATGTAATTCAGTTCATGTCTGTGTTTAAAAAATAGAAAAGTTTTTTTCTATTATATTTCAGGAGTTCAATAAACTCCTGCCCTAGTCCTACTTATGTTTTTACGCTGAGCAGTTGTCTGAAGTTCAAGGCAAACACTGGCAGGTTTGTGCCTTAATTTTGATACAACTCTTTGATTGTTTGGCTTATGCAGCTCTGGAAGAAATGAAGAGACCTCTTAAAATGATCAGTTTCTCTGGTTTTACTTTCTACAGGTATATGTTTGAGTAAAATGAACATTGTTCTTTTATTCTGTGAACTCCTGACAGCATGTCTCTGAAATTCCAAGAAAATATTTAGTATTTATTAGCAGAAAAATGAGAAATGGTCAAAATAACGAAAAAGATGCAGTGCTTTCAGACCTCCAATACTGCAAAGAAAACAAGTTAATTTTCATTTAGAAACAACAAAACTAGTGTTTTAACTCAGGAAGAGTTCAGAAATCAATATTTGGTGGAATAAGCACCAGTGAGGTTCAGTGCAGTTCATTTTGTCCAGAGTCGTATGTTCCAGTGCAATTCCATTAAATCAAATGGGATTAAAACATGCAGAAAAATGTCTTTCAGTCAGGATCCCAACCCCTAGTAGAAAACTGTTAAATATATTCTCAACATTCTGCATGTTTGCTCAGATGATTGTTGGTTTTTACAGAAACGCTCTCGCTGTGTGACCGTGAATGAAGCCAGAACATGGAAACACAGTCGGTGGTGTTAGCTTCCTCTGCTCTGACATCACTGCTGGTTTTACAGTTTTAAATAGCAGACAGCTATTCAGGGGAGATGACAGACATTAGAGATGTTAATGCAGGATGACACTCTCTGCTCTTTTTCCTGATTAGCCACAATTTTGATCAGGAACTTATTATGGATGGGCTTTGAGGACCCAGTGAAAACTACATCCTGGTGTTCAACTGTTTTTATAAAGGAGGGAGAAACATTATTTCTATTTTTATAAAACAAGAAGACAAACCAACAGTCCCTACTTATCTGAATCACAGATTTGCCTCAGCAGAAACCTCGTCATGTCGGGCTTTAGTCTCTGGGAAGCATTGTTGTTGTGGCTTCATGGTACCTGTGCCGTTTTGCTTACATTTTTAGCAGAGTTTGTTCGGGATCATAAAAAAAACAACAAAAAAACCAAAGCTCCCCGGACGTTGTCACAGCAACGCTGTCAAGACAGACACGTTTCTGTCTCGGAGGGAACGCTTCGTCTCCCCAATCACTCTGCCTGAGTGCAAGGCTACAAGCTCTCCCCGCTGCCGCAGCGTCTCTTTGAAACGTCCGGCGAGTGCCCTGATTGATGTGAACATGAAGGCATCATTAGGTCTGAGCGTCTACAGCTGCAGCCTCGTATCAAACGGGAATCTGTTTCACCTTGTTTCATAAAAGCGGTGTGTACACCACAGCTTCCCTTACTGCGTGTGCCTGGTTATCACTCTGTGAGACCCTTCTCCCCCTTTTTTTTCTTTTTCTAGATTTGACCAATTTTATACGGAATCAAATTTCATAATTTCTTGCTTTAAAATTAATTTTATACCTGGGGTAAGTTCTTACTCAAGCATATCTGCTCATCATGATGCAGCACTAAAGGCTTATTTCTGTGAGAAGAAAAGGAACAACTTTTACCATCATTGGAAAGTGACAACACAAAGAGTGAACATAATAATGTCTTACTTTCTACCTTAAAAACAATGGGACTAAAGCTGCTTTCACACAGCAGGTGAATTCGACTCAAATCTGATTTTTTTTTTTTGTTTGTTTGCTTGCTTATGTCCAACTTTTTTCTCGACATAAACAAAGATCTCCAACTAGCATTTTCAGAAATCGCCAGGGTTTCCTCATCCGCTTAGAGGTTGAACCTTTCCCAGCTGAGTCCACACAGATCTCAGCAGGTCTTCAGTTCCTGTGTGGGTCACTTGGAAGGTCGTTAAAACATCAACTTACATGTTTGCTTTCAAGTGACTGTGACACCGCAGCTCTGAAGCATTTGTTTTTGCGAAACTATTTTGGACACGGATATAAATTTAGAACTAGGCCAATAGATTTCACTGCTGTTAAGTTGTTGTTGCTGACGTATGTAATGTCAAGACCTATCTATGAGGCAATTAATCATATTTTATTTTTTCTTCAACAAACTAAAGCTTCCAGTCAGAGCCTTTGTGATCATGTGTTTCTGGTACGCCTGTAAACCTGACGCACAATTAACAATGGACCACAAATCTGCTTCTCTTGGGTTTAATTTTTGCTTCCAAAAATGATCTAATTGGACGCTGGAAAAGACCAGTGTTGTGCTAGTAGGAGTTAGCAAAGCTAATCGAGCTATAATGGCATGTCAATGCTAAACATGTAGCAGCTAGCACAGATGTTCCCAACGTTAATGTCGGCGTCCATAGTCCACATTTCTAAAGAAGTTCTATGAAAGATCAGTTGTTCCTGAAATACCTGAAAGTTGAATGAGTATAACGGCACCAACTGAAGGCCAAAAAACCTAAATAACAGATTAGAAACAATGAATATCTTTGTTGTTCGGTTCACATGTGCATTTATTCAGTAATTTAGCATCAAAAAGGGTTTTTGATTTGAACCTGTTGCTTATTTTGTCTCTGTTCAGTTTTTGAATAGCGACTTGGAATGAGATTAATTGTGATGAATTAATTACAGACTCTGGAATTAACTGGATTAAAAAGTTTGAGTTCCTCCACTAGGAGGATGCAAACACATCACAGCAGCTGAGCTGTGAACTTTCATAAAAACACATTTTTGTGAATATCTTGACATTTTTCTTCCATATTCCAACAAAACTCAACAGTGCAAAGTTTTGGAATATTTCTAACAAAAGCAAATAAAAAAACAAACAAAAAACAATAACAACAACAAGCAAACTTCAGTCTCTCCATACATCTTTCTTGGTTAGCATCACAAGTTTTCTCCTCCTGCAGTGACATTTTCTACCACGCAGCACAAAAAAAATAAATAAAGAAATTAATTTTGGACAAACTTAATTTTTTCCCAGACTTAGTAGAAATTTAGTGTCCCTTTCATTTGATGATTTCTATTTGTCTTGAAATAAATAGCAGGAAGGAGACTCTCATAGTAACGGTTGCAGACTTGCACTGGGCAAGTCTCGTTTCTTTTTTAGATAAGAGTTTTCAATCATGAAATGGACCTTTCAGCACCGCTCAGGTTTGTAGCCAGAAAAGTATTTATTTGAAACATTTAGCTCCGAAGCCACAGATTATTAACAGAAGTTACACGGCTTCAAGAGCAGAGAGGAGGAACATGATAAATGACGTCTAAAGCTTCCCCCCTGCCGATCTCCCGGCGTTTATCTGCAGCCGTGTGTTTAAGTCCAGCAAACGGCTCAGAGAGATTCAGAGCCGCTCTTTCCCTCCATGACCTTTAACAGAACCGCACAGCGCCGTCGTCCCGCTGACACCTTTGCCGTGTTTGTTTTTCATTACTGGAGTTGCATCCTCACGGGACGGAGCAAAGTCAACAGCCCCGTGGCGCGGCACCGCCACCCGGAGGCGCAGCCGGGTGCCTCGCCGTCGTGGCGGTGCCCGTTTGGGTTTCATCTGGACTCCTCGTCTTTCCTGGAGCCAACGTGGATCAGTGAGGCTCGGTTTCCCAGGAGGAAGTGATGGTTTTTGGGGCTTTTTTTTTCTTCTTCATAATGATCTGAAGTAAAAGTGTGTGAATTTCATTCTGCTTTGTGCAGCGGTCGATTGCTTCATGGAGCATCTCAACAATCGAAAATGGCAAATAGGAAGTTCTTTATTAAATGTTTATCTCCAGATGCGCTCTTCTTAAAGCCGGAGCACAAAGTGTTTGTTTGTAGAGAACGCAGACAGAGTAATTTCCCACAGGGCCTGAGATTGTACTGAGAGATGAACATGGAAGCTTTTTGCGTTAACATTTGGGTTTCAATCCGATATTAATATTTGTATTTTTCACAATGTTGAAAAAAAAATTGTGGATTGGGTATTGATGCCCAGTCCATAGGAGCAGATCTAGTTGGTCTAATTCTACGCTTTGTGCTCTGAGAGCATTATTTTACTATTTATTATTATATTATATTATTTATTTATTTAATTATATTTAGAATTTCTAATTACACTTTTTGAACCGTTTGAAACGAGGTTTGTAGTTTTTATTTGTTACATTGGACCAAGAAAGTCAACCTTTTGTTTTTGTCAGTTTCTTTAATTTATATTGGCTGTTGTTCTCCTAATATCACTGATTAAACAGATTAAAGTTGTTTTTCCATGTCTGTCCAGGCTTGTGAAACTATCGGTGCATTTAAGTGTGCTGCACTGGTGCAGAGTTGGAAAAACAAATTTGTAATTCAGTATATTTATGTATGTTTAAAAAACAAACATTCCGTTTAGCTCTGCTTTTCCATATCGGATCGGTATTTGCCGATACTAAACCTCAGATATCGGTATCGGAAGTGAAAAAAGTGGATCGGTGCGTCCCCAAACATTTTTTGACAGTAAGTTTATGTTTTTTGGTGTCTTGAAAATGAGGCATTTCAAAATCCTCCCGATCATGAAGTCACATTTGATGGACACTGCGCTTGTTACCTAGCAACTCTAGCTGAGCTCCAGCACATTTGGTCAGCTGGTTTTACTGCTGTCTGCTCTGTACAATGGCTGCTGGAAAAGACAAGTTTTTATGTTGACTTGCCATCCAGAAACCACTTACTGCATTTTTATCGGTTGCGCAGAAGGCTCCACTTCTGCTTTTCTAAGATGTACAATCTGCAAACCCACTTAGTGGCGGTTAGGACTTACCTTCCTGTTTCTCCTTTCCCCACACAGGGAGGAGGAGGAGAGCCTACGCAATAAGATTCGCGCCGACCACGAACGAGCGCTGCAGGAGGCGAAGGAGAAGCTGCGCAAGTCTCGCAAGGAGGTGAAGGCCGAGATCCAGACGGAAAAGGCCAAAATCATCGAGGACCTGAAGAAAAAGGAGGCGGGGCCCAAACCCTTACCGCCCGTCCCCATGCCCAAGGTCGTCGGAGTCAGCGACGGGGAGCCGCCTGAGGCAGACGCCAAGGAAAAGCGGGATAAGATCAGAGAGGTAAGAATGTCTTTGTTGGATTTTGTGGTAATGTGTTAAAGCGATAACCTTCAGCGTTTTACTGGGAGGTTAGTTGGCAGACTGAAGCTTTGGTAGTGAAGAATTGTCGGATGATTATTGTGTTTTAGAGTTTGCTTTTTGGGGGTTTTATAAGAAAAGAAAAGGTGTTGTTGTCATTTGTATTGAGTCTTCCTGGGTCAATACTTTGCAATTTTTCCTCCCTGGTTTTATCTTTCTTTGAAACATGGCTGAAGTTCCGTCAGACTAAACGGAGAATATTTGTGGACATCAATTTTCAGCTTTTTCTGCAGAACTACACCGTTCCTTTATAGCTCTGCCTGTGTCCTGCAGGCTGAACTGCTGCACTAGTTTTAAGTCATTCATGTTTTATCTTATTTCAAGTGCTCAAAGATATTTTGCACTAGAAACTAGACCAGAAATCCTTGGTAAGATTATGTGTTTTGCAGTATATTCTGGAAAATACAGTAGTCAGGAAAACAGAATTGTCTCTGACTGGGGCATAAAACTTGTCAACGTTGGGATAAGTAGGCCCACTCACACTTTTATTTAAAGTTTTTTCCCCATTTATTTCTCTCAGATGAATAACTGGGAAAAAAAAATCATATCTTATCCTTTTTAAATCCTCACATCCACTGAGACTCCTCTCTGGGATTGACGGGCGTCTAATGAACGTTGCTTTCAGAGTGGTGCGGTGCGGTTCAGCCCCAAACCTACGACCCACAGAGCCAGAGCGCATCCGACTGTACGTCGCACGCTTGAATTCCTCCCGTCGCCTGCTGCCCTGTCTCCGAGCCAGCGCCTGGTGAAGGCCGCAGCAGCAGGCCAGACAGACAGTGCATGTGCAGAATGCAGATGGTGCTATCTGGTGCTGCTCTCTTTACACGCGATGCCAGCCCCAGCGTATCTCTCTCCTCTCTGCTCTCCTTCCTTTCCCCCCCATCTCTCTCTCTGTGCAAGTTTCCTCGCATAATTGCCTCGTGTCGTGTCTCATGAAACGGCACTCGGAGTCGGAACGCTCGCTGTGCCGAGGAGCGGGCTCTCTCCTCTCCAGAAACTGCCTTTGTCTCTAAAAGCCTCTTTTGTTCCCTTTCATAATTGCCATGCAGAGAGAATGCCGTACACCCCCAAATGAGAAAGAATGAAGCAGCTGTATGGGCAACAGCGCAGCACAATCCTTCCCCCTTCCTCCCTACCATCCTTTCCTGATTGCCTGGCAAATCCAAGGAGAAAGCCTCATAACACGCAGCAGAAGAGTCTGAGTGAGTGGAATATGGGAGCCGTTCCTCTTTCCTATCCGGGTTGCAGGCTGCTCTTTGGCCCGCATGTTGATCAAGTTCAGGGAGATGATCCAGCATCGATGAGCTCGTCAGCGTCGCATCCAGATAGAAAGCAGTAAATCACTTCCATGGAGCAGAACCTTCCTTTTTAGTTATGTGCATTTTTGGTGGCATTTCATAGCATAATCAGGATGGGGTGCACTGATTTATCAGCTGACCAATTTATCGGCACCGGTGAAGCAGATATTATTCAACAATCTTATCTACCTTAACAAAAATCAACCACAGTCGTCTTCTGCTCTCCTGTGAGAGGCGTTTGACCAGCAGACCCTCCCTCCAGCTCATGTCTGCACGTTTACAGTCGACTGTTGCCAACTAAACAACTTTCTTGCCATATTTAGCAACATTTCAGAGAAATGTTTGACAGCAGCCAAATCAAAACACAACTCTTCAAAACGATTGTAGTGGAATAAATGTAATTATTGACGCTACCAGCTCTATTAACCTGTCGCATTATGAAATATTGTTGGCTCAGAGCTAAAGAAAAAAGAGTGAATTTGCATATTGCTGTTACATTTTAGCATAATTGGGAATTTCTAAAATGAGATTTTATTTGAAAATGTACACTGGATTACAAGTATGAAGAGGCATAACATTATGACCACTCACAGGTTGAGTGAATAACTTTGATTCTTTTGACAATTTTTGGTTGTCCTTTGCTATTTCCTGACCAGAACTGGATAAAACTGGAGTGTTGAAGGACTTGACTCTACGGACACAGTGAGAATTGAGTTTGTTTTGTAGCACTGTGTCCTTTTTATTTCACAACGCTGCTTTAGGAACATCATGTTTTGTGCTTTGCTGCCACATGACAACTATTTCAAAAGCATTTTCCTCTGAACATTTTCTAAAATCCCACTAAATGTTGTGAAAAGCGGCCCAAATTTTCACAGCCCGCCAAAAGCTGTTTTTCTTTTCCAGCCAAATGTGTTCAAAAGCAGCCCATTCTGGCAACACCGTTCACCACAGAAAGTGTCTGCAATTGGCGCCAGAATCAGAGCTGGTTTATTGAACAATCACTGCAAGAATACAAGATCTAGTTTCTAGTGCAAATATATTGGTTTTCTCTTATTTCAAGAATAGTGGCTTATAATTAACTTTTCAGCAAGTTGCAGGAGTTTGTTTTGAATAAAAAAAATATTGATGAAAACATTGTAGTTTTGCTGGCAGCTCATTTCACTTTTAACAAGGCATTTTTCTCATGTTATGAGTGAAATAATCTGCCAGTTGAACTACAACTTTTTATCAATATTGAAGAATTACTGACTTAAAACAAACTCCTGTATTTTGCTTAAAAGTTACTTGTGAGTTAATTTGATCTTATTTAAGTCTGTGTAATAAATCAATAACAATATGTATTGTGGTAAACGCATGATAAATATGATAAATCAGTAATACATCTGATGGGATATTCAATAATTTCCTCGAACTCTGATCCAGAACCCCGTAGCATTCTGGGAGGACGTAGGCAGAGGAGAAAGATTAGCTGCTCACAGCTAGCTATATACGATGAGTGGCATCAACTAACTCACTCACTCTTTGGTTACCTAGCAACAACCTGTTTTCTCATAACTGCTTAAAAATTTAAAAGAGCAGCAAAAGAAGAAAACGAGCAGAAGATCTCGAGAAGAAGATGTGACGAAAAAAAAACAACGGGAAAGTTCACACCACCAGTTTGTGGATCATGTCAGATACGTAAAACAAACAAAAACAATCAATAATTAACTATCGACTGACATGAAATCCTTATATTGTGATACGTTTTTCAAACATATCTTCCAGACCTAGTCTTATTTCAGTTGCTACTTGTTGACAAGCTTAAGGTTCTGTATTGATATTAGCTAGTCATCTTTTAGCTAACATTACCTGCATCCAACAGCTTTACTCAACTCAGTCGGTTAGTTTGGAGGGAAAAACTGAAAAGTTCTTTGCGTTTTGCTGGTTTGCTGCCGTGATTCTAACACAAACCTGCATAGCTCCGCACAGCAGCAGCAGGTCTCCTTCACAGGTGGAAACCCAGCGCGAGCGTCGTAGCACTCATGTTGCGTTTAAAGGCGGCTTGGAAAAACAGGTTACAACATGTTAGCAACGGATTAAACAGTTTTAACTGCTGATAAAAGTGACAGAGGACACAAATATGGGAAGTGTGGAAGCTTCTACTGTATCAAATTGACATAGGAATAACAGAGAGTTGGCCATTCTAAGGTAAAAACCCAGCGCAGACAGTGTTCATGGTTTTTTTTGGGGGGGGGGCTTTTTCCCCCACGGCGCCCCCTTTAGGATGCGCGCCCCACAGTTTGGGAACCTCTGCACTACAGGAACAAAAGGAATCTGGCAGACATACATAAGCTCTATTAAAGGCCTGTTTGTTTCAAAACGGACAATTCACATCACATAATTTGCCAGAGTTAGCCATGAAGGCTAGCTTTCATCTGTAGTCCCTCAAAGTACAATCAATAGAAAAACACATCACAGTGCAATACCACTTTACAAGATCCTTCCCAAAAAAAGAGAATAATAATAAATGAAAGGTTGTTTTTATTTTTTTATTTTATTTTATTTTTTTTACTAAAATGAGTATATTAAGTTACACAATAAAAAGCCACATTGCACAAAAGTTCACCACAATACAGACGACGCATAGAAGCAGAACAAAAGTAAGAATCACATTACTCTCTCTTGGCAGTACAATAAAGCACATTTGGCCTCCAAATGACCCCAGATCTCAATCCAGTTGCGCATCCGCTAATGTGCTGAGCAAACGAGCCGTTTCCATGGAGACCACCCCTGAGCCCACATGTTTAAAGGACTCAGTGCCACATAGCACAGCTCACCTTCAGGAAGCAGCTGGGGTCCGTCCCTCTGTGGGGCCCGGCGATCCCCGTACAACGCCTGGTCGGCATCGTGGGAGACCGAACGGCTCCAACAGCTCCAGAAACACTGAAGTGGTGGAAGAAGAAAAGAAAAAAAAAAACAGTTTACAGCAGCAGTGATCTGATCATCCATCTATAAAACCTTTTGCTAAAAGTTTTAATTTCTCTTCCATTTTGTGGTGATGGAGACTTATTTAGCTTCTGATTGTCACTGCCACTTTGCAGGCTGCTTGTATCGTAGTTATCGTGACAAAACGCTTCATGGCAGCAGACTGTTTTTTTTTTCTTTTTTTTTCTTCTCCTCTCCCGGCTCTTTCGAGCAGCTGTGTTGTGGCTAAGCTGACAGAAAGCAGAGCTTCCCAGCCTTGGGTTTCATTGACCATTTTATTTTGCAGGTGTGCCGCAATTGGGTTCACTTTAGAGGCCTTCTGATTGGTTGGAAAGCACAGATTTCAACAATGGCCTTCTGAAAGCACAGCTTGCCTCTATGAATTTATGAATAATGCTTATTTTATGTTTTTTAAGGAAGCGCCTTCTCCACAAATAATCTGGAGTTGCATTCCACAATAAAATTTGTGAATATGTGATTGTGAAAGCCAAAATAAATCAGACATGTCTGCAATTTTTTCGATTTTCTTTTTGAAGGGGCTGTATTATGTAACATTGACTTTTTTTTTTTTAGCTTTACATCACGTTATAATGTTATTTCCTCATCAAAAACACACCTGGAATGATGCCTAGATTCTTTCATCCATGTTTGAGAAATCCT